CTTGAAAATTGATTCGATTGCCATTCGACTGCAGCCCAAACGACGGCACGGATTCCTACGATCTTGGTGTCTACGGACGCATCTCAATTAGGACTACAAAGTGGAAGAGTTTCAATAAGATCCATTGAGTTTTCAAAAAGTTATAAGCACTTAATGACCCAAAACAAGGAAAATTTTACTTTTTACTTTGCCGGGAAATTTGAATTTCAAGAATCCAGGGTACTGAGAAAGTCACTCAAACTCCGCGATAACGGTAAACCTTAGACCCATAAAAGTGGGTACCTAAAGAATCGTCATGTTACCGTGTCCACGGGTTTTTACAGTTTTGTAACATTCCTAGTGATCTTAAAGAGAAATTACGGAAAATACGACTAAACTGCCCGTCATGACCATCTTTAACAACAGATTTCTCGCTTACCCGGCCGCAGATTGTAATGGAGCCTATATAAAGGGCACTCCGTGAAGATGTGAGGATTTCATTTTGCCACATAAAAAAGCGCTTTATCTCACGGATAATCCAGCATCCGCTTACATCCTTCAAAATTTTAGCTATAATTTTTGAATTTAGAAAAAAACCAGTAATATAATGGTTCAACGCCATTGGTTCATTCTGTTCAGGTTCGTCCGAGTTTCGGGAACGAAATTCCTGTCGTCGTTATCAACCTCCATCTACTGTATTTATTTGTGAATAATGAACAGATGTAATTTAAAAGTTCAATTCATTTTAGATCCTAACTAATATTACACACTTATATTATTACGCCAACTTTTATCCCGATACGCTACTTCATTGGTTTCTTAAAAATCTCAAGTGATTTCTGGTCGGTCGTTGCCAACCTCTTTAACTAGTTGTGAATAGATTTACCTAATTTGGATAAGAGTTTAATTCTTTGTAGATGCTAACTACTATATTTACATACTCATATTATTACGTCTCACGTGTTCTACTGGAGCCCGATATACTATTACCTTAGTTTCTCTTAAAATTTTCAAGTGGTATCTTTATTTTATTGAACGAAAATGTGACAAATTTTTAAGTGAGGTTATGTCGTCATGTTTATGTCAGTACCTGACCTAAGCGATAGATGTAATTCAGGTAAATTACGTTAACGAAATTACACCGAAATTGTGCCAAACTCTCCAAAGGAAGCAGCATTTACATCACAGAATGTATTCTCACGACTAAAGTCTAAAAATTACTGGAATATGAGCCTCGGCCTTCACATGCGACTGTCACTGAACTTCGACCAAAATTTATTCGCTCTATATCTTGCCATCAACCTATGTGCTCTGGAGTGATTATGCTTCTCTGAAGTGTATGTTATTTACATTAAGAACATGTTTCCTTCATGATTTATCTTGGAATCCTCCTATCTCTTCTACCGTTCTTGTTACGCGTGGCTTGCGAACCTGAGTATGTGAGGCACAATTCCATCCCTTTTCGGAACAGTTCAATCATAGGTCAACTTAATGTCACATAATCAAAGGTCTTTGACTGTGAGCATTTGCTCAAATTGGTTTCTTCTGAGTCTCTTTGATTTTGCGTCAGGAGTTGTTAGAAACTTCATTTTGCCCAACAATGTATAACAAGGTCTTTAATGAAAGGTATGTACCCGTTTTATTCTCATAATTTCATAAGTTGATGATAAAAATACAATGAAGGCTTCATTTTCTTGCATCGATTACTGTGTGAAATGGGTGCGTCCATTCTTCCTCTGTTCAAAAGCGTAACAGAATAAATTGCTTATCTGTTACGAGGACTACAGTAGTAAGATTCGTAGGTACGTGTTCCTGCCTAGTTCCATTGGAATAAGTGTGATCGTGTTAATCAAGGCTAAATACAATTAGACCCCATGGTATCAATGTAATCATAAATGCCTCTCCACTCTTACCAACTAGGTGCGGCATATCCTCCGATCAAGAGATGGAGATTGCCGTCTCAGTAGGTACGAGGGTGAGCCTACGAACCCAGGTATGGTGACCGTAAGTACCGCTTTGGCCTCTCACATTCAGATGAGCCTTTTTTTCTAATGAACTCATGCCAATACTTAGATCTCCAGACTTATTTACTACATTAAGAACACATAAGATAATAAATTAAATAGGTCAAGTCAGTTGTCAATCTTTATACCAAGTGCAGGTACCAACATAATTTTTTGTTATTGGTGGGACAAAAGACACTAGCTGCAACGCAGCGATTCATAGATTTAATTGTTCCCAACCGATCCGTGATTTGGCGTCAATCCTTTGGATAAAAAGATCACGATAGTTCCATTATTAATAATTAAAAACATCATTTAATTTGACAACAGTTCTGTGTGCGTTTCCCACTGTCTGAAGTTCAGTAAAAATAAGGACTCAATTGTGGTGGCCACATTCTCATGATGCAGTTACATCTCAACCAATGAACACCTGCAGATTCGTTTCAGAATCAGCATTGGTGCGCTCTCTCGCGGCTAACGCCGGAACCCTAGTTTTCACTTTCACTTTTCTCCACCAGGAGCGCTGAGTAGCACTCTGCTTTCGTTCCGGTTCTCCGATTCGCTCTGAACCATAGAGTACAATAGAGTCGCAATGTACTGGAGCGCCGATGAAGTCAATCCATTAACGGGCCTTTCCGAGCCGCTTGTGCTCCGAAAAGTGTGAACCCGACGGCACTTATCATCATTGTGGCTTATAGAGAAATCAAGAACTACTTGTGTTTTTTCGACATTTTTAATTCAATCATCATTAATTTTTGCAAATTTTGCTGCAAACGGGTAGTTAAAGTCATAGTGAATCCATTAATGTATCATACTCTTGAATAATATTCCAAAAAGGAAGTAAATTGAGACTTAAACCAAGTGTGAACCGACAAGCATTTCTTATCACGGCGGCTTACGGGAAAAGCAACGACTGCTTGTGTTTTTTCGACATTTTTTAAGTCAATCGATGTTAATTTGTGTAAATTTTGCTATAAATAGATGGTCAAAGCCATAATAAATCCATTCATGTATGTTACTCCTGGATTTTATTCACATAGGGATTTAATTTCTGACTTATACAAAGTGTGAACCAAACCGGCATTTCTAACATGGTGGCTTATGGAGAAATCAACAACACTGCTTGTGTTTTTTCGACGCTTCGGTTTTGCTAGCTCTTCGTACAGCCAGACCTTTAGGTACTTATTCACCCAAAAACGACCTGATATAAACTACAAAAACCCTCAAAAACATTTTTCGGGCAAAAAATCCGGTCGAGGAAATTGACGTGTCACTTCCTTTTAATCAAGTATAAGATAGGCAAAAACCTTTGATGAATTCCCAAGGTCCACTAAGACTAATAATCATCAAAAAGTTAAAAAAAAAAATAAATCCCTTGCCAAAAATAAATAAAAAACCGATTTTGAGATAAATCCCTCGAATGAACTTGAAATCACAAAATCGGTCGAGGATGTCAACTGAAATTTTTCCCCCTTTAATTATGAGCTCCGCAACAAGCGTGACTCGCTTGTACCTTTTCATACACGAGCCGCACGAATTCATCTCTTCTTCTCTCCTCTCCTTCCGTCCATGGACAGAGGTCCAAAATTTTTCGGATTTACTGACGCGACCGGCTGCGGCTCGATGCTCTCAGTGAATCGGTGCCTTCTTATCATCCCTGATGTCGGCTTCAAGTCGGTTGCAATTTCACCAGTCGACCCATTTTTCCATAACCACATGTTAGACTTTTTCGAAACATGATTCATCTGAAACATGGATTTTTTTTTTAAGGGAGCTTACCATTTGCTTTGGACGGTAGGTAGGTTGTAAGTAATAATTGTTCTTATACTCTATCAGTTAAGTATAAAATACATCTGTACCATTGGATGACATTTCGACAGACACGTTAGGTCCGGACAAGTGAGGGGATTTCTGAATCGCAAAATTATTAGTGGAATTGTTATAGTGGAGGAGTTGAGTCCCTTCACGGAATGAGCCCCACTTAAGTCGACAGGTTGTACGTGTTTCTCTCTGACTTATGTGTCATCTTAGTATAATCCACCCATGTTTACGCACCGAGCCGCAGCCGGTCGCGTCAGTAAATCCGAAAAATTTTGGACCTCTGTCCATGGACGGAAGGAGAGGAGAGAAGAAGAGATGAATTCGTGCGGCTCGTGTATGAAAAGGTACAAGCGAGTCACGCTTGTTGCGGAGCTCATAATTAAAGGGGGAAAAATTTCAGTTGACATCCTCGACCGATTTTGTGATTTCAAGTTCATTCGAGGGATTTATCTCAAAATCGGTTTTTTATTTATTTTTGGCAAGGGATTTATTTTTTTTTTTAACTTTTTGATGATTATTAGTCTTAGTGGACCTTGGGAATTCATCAAAGGTTTTTGCCTATCTTATACTTGATTAAAAGGAAGTGACACGTCAATTTCCTCGACCGGATTTTTTGCCCGAAAAATGTTTTTGAGGGTTTTTGTAGTTTATATAAATACTTCTTGACTAGAGTGGTAAATATATTTAGAACAAACGGCGATTGTGGTTTTACACATGAATTACGTTCATTAAACTTTTCCGCCGGACGATAAACGTTGTGAACTATTGCCTGAGTACAAAAGTTGATCGAACATATTATCAATAACACATTATTTCATATCTAAAAGTAGGAATAAAATAACATTGCTCCACACGTCCTTCCAGGAGACTTTAAAATATGTAATACAAGATCTAGAAAATAATATTAATAAAACCCCGTCCATCCCAATAAATTTGGAAAACTTGTTTTGATTTTGACGAAAAATATTTCAAAAGTGAAAAACGAATGCATTGAGGACACAGCCAGTTAATCAGTCTTTATTTGTCCCTGCTAACTTTTGAGCGAGTAAAGAGTGCCTTTTTAGCGGGCAGTCAATATTAAAAATAGAGATTTCTCTATATTATTTTATTTTACCACCCACATCACGTATCATTATTCAGTGAAGCAGGGGTGACAAATTTCAATCTTGTAACATCATGTCACAGAAATGATTCATCTTTCAGACCCGGTCCCATTACCTTTTCACTAATTAAAACGTCTTGATAAGGTAAATAAAATTTCAAATGATGTTATACAAATATCAATTATGAGGCTTAGGTGTGCATGTTATAGGTTCAATTCCATGACTCGAACTACAGTTTGCACTCTGATGAGACATTTTGGAACTTAAAATTTTGAACTCCTATTAAGTGTAACAGGGGCTTAACGGATATGCTCTTCAAAGAAACAGAGGTTAAACCGCAACACGAGGCGATTGAAATCTACCTCAGCCCATACATGGTCGGTGTTTCCTGTTTTTAAGCGATTTTATCCAAAGAGCTGTTGAAAGAATATTCAAATAGAAACATAGACAAATCTGAAACATGCAAAATATTATGATTGTAACTCAATGAATCCTACGAAACTGAAACAAAAGATCGAAACAGACTTCTGGAGGTGGATCTTCAATCTCTAAATAATTGTAGGATTTAATGCTATCCACAATCTCTCCATCACGCAAAAATACCGACTACTTCGTATTTAGTCATTGCAAAGTAGAGACTTCTTTCAAATTTTCAAATACATTCTTTGAATGAGAATTTTCACCTCATAGGTCACTATTGTTCTTGTTTTGTCGTATGCTTTTGCAATTTTCGATGGTATTCATAGAGCTCGCATCATCCGTGCTGACGCTGCCAGAGACATTCGTCGAAGATGATTTCTCGACTAAGTTTACATTAGTTCCATTACAAGATATCGTATTTTCGTCTTCAGTGACTTCAGATGTACGACCGTTGCCACTGACTGACTCTAGGATCTCCTCCAGCTTGGGATTGAGAGACGTCACAGCCTTATTCCCGATAAAAAAATCGGCGTGGTTGAAAGTTGACTCATTGATTAAAGTTTTGCTTTTTAAATTTTGTAGTAATGAAGTCAGTGTTTCCACGTCCTGTAACAGCAAAAAGCAGAATATTAATGTGTCATTTATAAGATGACAACAAGACAGTCTTATAATGAAGATACTTATCCTAATGGCATTTTGCATTAAAAACTCGAATTTATTGCCATTATACATAAACTTTCTACAAAGCGCGTAAATAGCAAATGAAATGACATTTAATTTGATTTTTTTGACATATTCCTGGTCATTTTTATTTTGAATTCGTACCAAGAATAGATAAAAGTCAACAGCATGCAGTGTGTTCTCAACCGATCGCCCATCCAACTTATAACTACGCCCATCGTTGCTTGACCTCGGTGATCAAAGGAAAACCTACGCTTTTGACGTAGAAGAATAAAAGAGAGAGAAGAGGAGAAAAAAAGAGAGAAAAGAAGAGAAAATGGAAAGAAGAAACTAGGAGTAAGAAAAAGAATAAGACGAGGAAAGAGAGAAGTTGGGAAGGGGTGAAAGAGAGAGAAGAAAATGAGGGAACAGAATACGGAGGCAGAGTATTAAAAAAGTGAAAAGAAATGGGAGAAAAATGAATCAGCTTAGAAAATCGGAAGAATATAAGAGAAAAAAAGAATAACATAAGTGAAAGAATTCGAATAGTGGCAGTATAGTGAAAGTGCAAGGTTACCCGGAAATAATACGCAAAAAAGGAAGCTTTTTACGAAACGAGTAGATTACCTTAACGCCGTGTCAGCTCATCCTCAAATTTCGTTTAGGCAACACGAAATTCCACGTGATCGAATAGTGGCAAGTCGTAAAATGACATGCTCGGCGGGTGCATACTCAAAAAATAGCTTTTTACCAAATCGGAATAAAACCGGAATAGGCTACTATACGCCGAATCAGTTCGCCTTCAATAATTGGTGCTGGCAATACGAGCTCACACTTGGTCGAATAGTGGTATCAACCCCTCTAAAATAGTCAGGCGGTATCTGGCGAGTAATTTGTAGTAGACACGATAATTATTGTTAGATTCGATTCAACTTATTTTTTTCAGTTTTTTAGAGTTAAGTTTCCATGACGGATAAAAGCAGAGTTCAAATTAGAGTTCAAATGCATTTACCGATTACCAATAAACGGTTAGTAACGCGAGTGCTCCCCACGCTGTTTTCATGAGATTATTTTTACTTATTTTCCGTCGGGAAAGAAGAATAGGGGAAGGAGAAGAGGGCGAAGAAAAAAGAAGGAAGACATTGTTAGGACATCACCGTATGGATATCATGATACGTAAAATTTTCATGTAGAAACATGCGTCATTATAATCTCGCAGCACCGCGCTTATTTGAACGAGCTTTGGAGACTTAAAAGCAGAGGTAGAAAAGTAGACAGATGTGTGAAAACGTCATCGCCGCGCCGGTAGATAGAAGGCACAAGCACACTAAGGATATGCTCTCTTGGACACAAGATCGGCTTATAGTCTGAGTTTATTTGAACGTGCTTTGGAGACTTAAACGCAGAGGAAGAACAGTAGACAGATGTGTAAAACATCGTCGCCGGTAGATAGCAGGCACAAACACACTAAGGATATGCTCTCTTGGACACAAAATCAGCTTATGGTCTAAGTTTCATGGAAGGCTCATAGCTCATCTGTACAACAACTGTACCAATGATCGATAGGAAGCTAATTTAGATATTGATTTTGTTTTTGATTGCAAGGTTTTGCATTTATTGAATCGGAGCACTCTTTCAAGGTAAAAATGACGTCATTTTACAGTCTGAGGCGCGAGCGTTTCCGAAAAAACTGATTGTGAGCTTTAATCCGCATACACACATCAATTTACAAGCCCCTTGGTATGAATTAAATTAAATCGACCGTTCCGCGATATGCCTTGGAACTTTTTTCGGTGCTTGCTCATGGCCTGTAATTACGTTGCTTAGCGATGAATAATTACTTCTCGATGCGTAAATTCGGTAACCACGTACCTCTGTTCTCGATGTTTTAGACTTCTCGTCACTTTTTAATTTTTTATCGTGAACCTATAAACGATGTAATTTTTTTAAATCCATCGTAATTTTTTCTCTCTATACAAAGAATGTCCTGTAAAAATTTCAGAAAGTAAAGTTGGTTCGTCAGCTTTTGAAAAAATTAAAAAATAGTTAAAATTCTGTAATACTGCAATCGAGGTATGTGGTTAGCAAATTCAACTACCGAGTTGCTGTTATTTTGCTTGTAATACCTAGTGGCGTGGCGTGCTTTGCGATACATCGATTGTTATGCCATTTTTACCTATGGAAAAGGATCGATAAACAGGGTGTTCGCAGCAAACACCTTAATAATCGATTCTTTACCATAAGTTTAAATGGCATAACAATCGATATATCGCAATTCACGCCACGCCACTGCTACCTTTGGACTGCACACAGCATCCGTCGAGCCGTGGAAGAGATGAACTGGCACAGTGGTGCGAGAGAGATCGTAAAGTGGCGGTGTTGCTTGTCCGTAATGCTGCATATTGTTCTCAGCACTTCCGTAATCGAACTGCCGGAATTTACCTGCAATAAATATAGTAGAATATAAAGTTTTGTGACAAAATTCGCGAGATGGAGCAATTGAGCATGATGTCAAAATCAAACTAAAGAACAACCACATTTGGAAAGAATTTAACCTCAACCTAAATAGTACAGGTTGCGATAAAGTGCGATTTAATGTTAAAATAAATGCTACTGTATCGGATTGTTGTGTATGCCTATCTGTTTATTGAAGGGGCTCTTTTTTATTCAGGTGTTATGCGATGAAAAAAATAAAATGCAATTTTTATTACGGATTGCCTACTTTTTTGATACATGGAACATGGAACTCATATTATTGATCTTCCAAAGAATCAGAATTCATTGACAAAACGACGAAAACCCATCGAATTTTTTAACCACCACACCTATCGTATTTTTCTTTTTTAACTTTTTATAAACTTTTTCATAGGGCAAAACATCCAACAATATTGGGTGTGGAAACATGGAATCGGGACAAATCTTGTACTTTTTTGCTCCTCTAAACGTCTGAACCGCCAGAACACTATTTTGCTAGTACGCGTAACCGGCTCATATTTGTGGAAATGTTTAAATGAATTGAAAGAAAATTTTTCGAAAAAAGCGCTGCAACAATTCAGTAAAAAATGCATTTCCAGAATTTCTGTGAAAATTTGAAAATTTAAGCAAAATCACCACTGATAATTGCGTTTCGAACTAAGGGTCTCAAAAATTTTTAACATCCTAAACGATTTTAAAAGTGTCAACGCTTGCCAAGGCTTGAGAAGAATTGCGAACAGAAAATTAGTTTATTTTTAAACCACAATGCTTTGTTGTATCACGCTGGGAGACTAGATACCAGGAAAAGGCAGAAGTAAGAATAAAGGTTAGCTATTCCTTGTTCGGAGAAATGAATACTTCGCTGGTCATGGCTACATGTAATAAAACGTGGACGGTCAGGAGAAGAATCTTAATAACTCAAATTATTTTTTTACGAGTAATAACTCACAGCGAAATGGTCTTTTTCTGACAACCGAAGATAATTCGACGATTGAAATGACAACTTGCCACTTTTTCCATTATTTAAATACTCAAAAGTTTAGTTTGATTTTATACAAATAAAGTTGGTGCAAATCATACTCACGTTTTAAGGCGCACTTGCGCATTACGAAACGCACTATTTTCTTCTTTCACAGGTTCACAGTTCATAATCAATTCGTTACTTTCATCATCGTACTTCTCCTCCCTATAATAATTCTCAATGGATCTAATTGTTTTTCTGAAAGTTCCACTGGTAGAAAACAATATACCGCGTATTTGACTTAATCTAGTTGAAAAAATCAAATTTTAAGGCACTTACCACTTAAATGCATCTGTAAAAAATGCTCAGCCGTCCTGACAGAAGATCCGATTAACCCATTTTTAACGACGGACATGTATATCGTCTGAAAAAAAGAGGAGAACATATTTTATTCAGTTGACAGTTTAAATGACTTTTGACTAAAATTTAATATTTCCCAACATTTGGAAGCTCAGTGGTCTCAAGTCATGATATAAAGTGTTCATAAAAATGGTCTCATTGTGATTTGGACGGACAGTATAAATTTTATGCGCTTATTTTGATTTCAATTTTTTCCATTCGCCTAAAAACTTAAATTTCAAATTTCTATAACCACGCACATAATACTTGAAGGAGCTATTTCGGTTAGTTTCCTTATAAAATAATAAAACAATTTTGAAGATTTTCAAACGCTTCGATGGAAAAACACATTTTCCGACTGTCATCGATTTGCGACATTCATGCACATTGAGAAAAATATGCTGTGTGTTTTTGTGTTACTTTTGCTCGCCTAGAAAGTGGAACCAAATTTTGCTATGATTTGCGTAGAATTTTGCACAAGAAAAGGATCCGGTTACTCTGTGTTCCACCTATCTTATTAACAGATCTTTAGGGTATTTTTTTCTCTGGGTGCAAAGAGTGTGAACATGAAGTAACGGAAAAGTTTCCCTTCATTCTCAAGAATAGGCATAACAAGTACTCACGAATTTGAATGGTGGTATTTAATACCGGTATTTAACAGAAGGATTTTTACGAAGTGATTTACGGTCATCAAATGTGTCCGCCTTCACTTTCCAAAATAAAAATAAGTCCCCACTAGTCTGAGCAGTGGTGCTTCATAGAAATATTTTTTTGAAGTGAAGTATGTACAGGCAACTGACGATTCTATCTATTCTTTCTATTTTGGACAGAACGAGACCCCTTCAATTCAGAAATGCAGACCCACCTCATTATTGAATGAATCGGAGGGTCCTGTGATGCCTGAAGTTATGAGTTTACCGATGAGTTTAGTGACTGTGTTGTGCGTACAAAATCCCTGCAGTGCTGATTGCATCAATCCATGACCGTATGCCCCTTCGGAACCGAAATCACCGACTCTCTGTAATCATAAAACCATGTGATTAATGAGTGAAGGGACAATGATTGATTCCGATTTTAAATGCTGTAGTAGGCTTTCTTATAAAAAAAAAAAACCTATAAGAAAATCTGAAAACATGTGAAAGATTATATGGTATTCTTCCTTACTATAGTAAAATATGAACGTATTTCTGTCATACGGAACTATGTGCGTTAAGACATGAGCCCTAAGACCCATAAGCATATAAGCATAACAGGGCTCACGTCGTAATGAACATAGTTCCGTTTGACAGAAATGCATCCATATTAGATTCCTTGCTCACTTTGGCAACTAGCTTCGCGAAACAATCTCGATCACCTTCATGAGTGTATGCATTTTAACACATTCCCTCTCCACGCCACCAATGTTTTGATACCGACGAATCTGAATTTACGAATTCGGTGGGCGTTGTTTGTTTAATTAGCAATTTGCTAAGTGTATAATGCATAGAAAGGACAGTCATAGGTTTTAATGAGTTGCAAAAAGGAAATATCACAGTAATAATGTGTTCGGAGAATAGACCAAAAAATCATCTTGGATACTACGATGAAGTTACTTTATGGCCACCTCCAGTTTCTGGCGGTTTTTTCAGTTGGTTCAGAATTTTTTCTGATCAGCCAGGATCGTGCAACGCCTTTGTTTACAATCATTAATTGAGAAACAAATCAATAAATTCACTTATTTACAGGCTTTTTTTCTCATTTAATTGGACATTTTCTTAGAAACTAAAAAGAAAGCTACTTGAAATTTCCAAGTCTCTTCGGCAAAATAAAAATAAGGCATACAATTATAGGAGCATTGTCACACTGTTAAGTTATGTTTGCAAATTTTAGTTCGAACGACAAATATTAGAATAGGACTACGTATTTCGAGAAAGAATCAATAAAATTTACCAATGCTTCTAAGACTATTTAGTTTACATTCTTCTTGCAGAAAACCTCAAAATTAAAACGCTCTCCGTCCGAGTGCTCCAAAATATAAATACGAAAGAAAAAATCCAGCAGATATAGTTTTTCGTCTGCTCAGTCATTTATTTTATTGTAAAGAAGAAGGTATATAACGTGTAATCTTACAACATTTCAATAGCCATGGTACTTTTTTTTGCAAAATGAGACTTATTTAAGGTCAAAAACTCGTCTACTTCAATTAATTCATTTTAAAAATTCAGAGATTGTATATACTGAAGTAACATACCATTTGGCAATGTAGTAAGCTTTTCCCGCAAATAAAACATCTCGAGAAATCTTCACACCGGCTTTATTACGCAATCATTATTAAAACTATAGTAAGTGTACTTTTCCATATTGCATCATGGTACCGTCAATATACAATTAACATATTTAGATTATCGATTAATTGTTTTTCCCGCCTGAATGTGCAATTAAAATTACAACAAAGATCCTCACGATTGGAAATAATGCACAGTCGCCGAAAATAGAAAATATAGGAAACCTTAAATCCTTAAAAATAATCGCTCAAGTGGCTTGGGTTCATGGTTACGGATTGCGTCAGAAGAAGTACGAAACCGAAGGAGACAGGAATATTCTGAAATGATACGCATTAGCCAAAGCTTCTCCGATGATGGAATTCTTTTGTTCAGGAGTATTTAGGATCGTATCGTATCTTTAAAACCTGCTTTCCTTCTGAGCCACCAAAGATCATATGAGAAATATTATTGTTCGACGATGCTAGTAAGAAAATGCGTCTCTCGTCCGTTTATAATAATTCTTCATTTTCCTCGATCGTCTCGTCGTTCAAATCGCTGTCTCCCATTGTCAACGAATAGGTTGCATTAGTTCGCGAAATAAAATGCAACAGTCAACCTGTCAGAACATGCTCCAACAATGGTTCAAGTAAATGTTCATTCATGACCTTCTGAAAAACTAAAACTCGTCGGGCCTTTCAAAATTTGGCAGTGCAGATATGTGTGTTTTAAAATTAATGTCGCACAGTGGATCGAGCCAATTAGAGAGGTCGGACATGAACACAATTCATAGTTAAGGCAACATTTGTTATTTCATAGGATGTTTTGAATCGTAATTCTTCACATAATGAGATGCTCTGTTTTTTTTCACTCATGTCGCCGCTCCTCTGGCGTAAGAGCGTATTCCGATTTCCGTATGAGCCCCATAAAGCATAGGTTTATACGTAAAACAGGGCTCACGTGGAATTTAAGATACGCCCTTGCGTCAAAAAAGCGATGATGTTCCGTCGCGGGCAGCGAGCTGACCGAGTTTACTGTCCAAGGCTATCAAGAATCCCAGTTCCTCGTTCTTCAAGCTCAGACAATCCGTCAGAAGTCCTGCCGAACCTGACAGAAACAACGTATATTTGTACATTTTCTAAGGCAGTTAGGTGTTTTCTTCTTTTACAAGATAGAATAGCTTCAAACGTGGACGTTAGAGTATACCGCAAGAGTCAATTCGTCTAGAAGCTTTCGTGCGGTTTCAAATCATTCCTCCGATTTTCAGGACTCATTTTTTTTCGCTCCTTTGACATAAAGGCGTATCTCCATTTCCTTGTAAGCCCTGTTATACATGAGAGATATGATAAAAATGTTCCTATTTTTCTCACCGGCCTTAATTTCTGAAAATCGGGGTACGGAGTTTTAGCATAGGGTGTACCAGACGCTGCCCTATTTTAATGCGGAATCTTTCATGAGCACTGAGTGTTTCAAGAGTGAAAATTGAAACCAATTCATACTCTCTACCTATCTGCGTGGTTATACTTATTTCGCACCCAAATCCCTGACAAAGGCACATGTACCTTGTTCCGATACTCAGTTTATACCGTTCCTTCACCATTTCTTCCTCAAAAAAGGAAGTGTTAAATCTTTAACCGGAGCAAGGATGAGATGCAGATTTGGAGCAGCAGCCGGTGAGCCGGTGCGGTGGATGAAATTGAGATGAATGATTCAGTGAACCTATCTCGGATTATACTTCCAAATGGCGGTTCGGTGACCTGGGCGCGTTGTCTTCGTAAAGTTCAAATCGACTTGAATGGTGGATTGACAAGTGATTTTGTGCATATGAGCACATGGTTTTTGTTTGATTTGTACTTCATTCGTAATTCAAATCGTCTGTATGATCTTGTCTCTGATTTATGCATTTGGTGCAGGCAACATCCAATGTTTGACTTTCTTAGCACCTATTATTGTCAACGCTCCGAAAATAGAATTACCTTTATCTCTGAGAATCACTCACTTTTTCCAAGTTTCATTGTTACATTGACAAGAAACGATTTTCAAAGTGCTAAAGTATATTTTGATGCATTAATATATCATCATTAATAATGTAACTCCACACATATCAATACATTTTTTCCATAAATGCTCTTTTTAATCAAAATGCATCTTCATGTTATTTAAACTTTAAAAATAATCACTTTTTATATTGTTAATTTTTTAATGCAGTGATTACTTTTAATTCTATAAGATATCAAACATTGCGGATTCAACGTCTACCTGATATCAGCAGGATCTCTACTCATATGAGTGATATCAGTGGAACCAAATACTACTGCTGTGCTAAGGAAGAACGCCATATGAATATTCGAGAGTTGCCAGATTTCCTCTAATGAAATGTTTATTTTTACGGAAATTATTGAATACCTTTTCTTGGAATTTTCAGGAACTTTAGGTGAACTTGTCAACAAAATTATTTAAAAAACTGAACGAAAGATATTCATAAAGTTACCAGGAAATTCGTGTTTTATCAATTAAAGGAAATTTGGCAACGCCTGAAGGTTCATACGGCGTTTTTTCTTATCACGGCAGACTAGGAGTCGTGTGCTCACGTAGAAGTTTTCCGCTAATTAAGCATAATCTCAATATTACGTATCATAGTTCTAAAAGTTTAACATTATTATTATCAAGGATCCCTGAAAATAAAGTGTCAACTTCAAGATGATTTAGTACGAAACAAGTACGACAAGAAAGCCCTTGGAGCGGAGTGAGGACTGTGCAAATTGGTCGCCAATTTATACTGGGAAGAGTAATCACGATTAATCGCTTATCTTCGCTGATTCACCTCGAAACGCATCCAAGTTGACAAGCACGTGCAACTGTCGTCATTAGCGTTCACGTGCGAAGTAAACAGGGAAGCTACTCGCCCGATAAATCGTCCCTCATGCCTATCTCACACATATTTTTTTTCGTGGGCGCGCATTGATTTTACAGCTGTAATTAAAACTCGGAAATAAATCAAACTGTGAAAAAATTTGCGGTGAGACCTTCACAAGTCGGGTACATTGTAATGATGTTTCTATTTCCTATACCGGGATAAAAAGTTTTACTTTGGATAGAACATCGAAAAAAATTTCGACACGCTATCCGCTTTGCGCCACGCAATAACGCGTATTCACTGGAAAAAACTTGGACCGATCAGCACCCTTGTGTATCGGGTCAAGTTTAGATGGAGGAAAACTCCAACTTTCTATTACAAATTCTCGTATAAGAGAGCCAGTTGAGGGGCTTGGAGGACAAGGTGCATAAGTGCAGTTTTTGCTATTTTAAGAAATTCGTGTTTAGAATTTCAAAAATATATGGAGCCATACGGCGGAAAGGAAGTTTGAACTCATTTCTTTATGCTTTAAAGTTGGATTTTAGTCGAGAACTTTTCACGGAACATACTTTCCAACTAGTTTTATTTGAGTTCATGAATATCTCAATTTTTTCTAAAACTGCACGTATGCGCCTTGTCCGCCAAGCCCCTTAATTGCTCTTACATATTTCTGTTGTATTTTGGCGGCAAACCACATTTTCAATTATTTGTAGATGTGAAAAACCACGATATTACCGCGAATCATACCTAGAATTATGAGATTTTTGTAGTTTGATGGACACAGTGCTCTTGATAATGACAATATTGATAAGAATTCTAGAAGTTCTATGTGAACCACAAAACGGTAATCATAACCACTTATTATCGATGTAATTTCTTCTTATCACTGTACCATGCGCAATCTTAGTAACAACTATGTTAGCTCCCACCAGGTTTTAAATTTTCACTCTTCAAATGTACAGAATGACTATTTTGGGATGAATTTACCTTGTTGACCATGATAAACAACCAATGAATCTTCCAGTATATTGAAGTTGAGTGTTTGAAGAAAACACCTGGAGCCATCGCAATGTGAGCCTGGACCTTAGCATGAGTGAATTCTGGATGGAGGGCATTCATCACGAAGAAAGAACCAGAACCCATGGAGTATCCTATGTGAATGAGCTTTGGAGCACCCGTTTTATTGAGAATGAAGTCTACAAGGGCAGGTTGATCATACAATCCCATCTCATGGATCCTGGAAACCGATAGCAATGATAACAAATTGTATTATGCCTCTCACAATGAACTGGTGAACAAAATAAGGTCATGGAGGATGTATCCTCTAATTTATTTCACGCTGAACATGGATAGCTCCAAAATCAAATCTAGAACCGTCTTTTATATGCTTAAAGTTATAATCGGTCAATCCAATACTCTCGCCTCTGCTAAAAAAAGATAAACGAAGAAATAATCAACTTTAAATAAACACATCGTTGAAGGGAACTTCGGTTTGGCAAGAAAGTCGAGTTTCACTGTGAAGAAAAAAGTAGAATTAGAAAGGAGAAAAGCTGGCCCCTTTTCTGATACATGAAACTTTGTACAATGTAAAATCCAGAAAATTCCTTAATTTGAAGGCTCTGTGAAATTATTTTAGTACCCGACTCGACTCAAGTATGTTTCAATTTTTCTAGCCAGAAGAAAGTTTAAATAATGGACAAGCACGAACTTGCCAGGTTTGAACATTTTCAGTGCGTTTATCTTAAACTGCGTGAAATTTGGACGAGGCATCGTGACTCATCAATTCTCACGAAATTATCATGGAAAACAGATTATTAAGCCACATTCATTAGAACTTACATCTTTGGCCCAGCGACGAGACGCGAGACTCAAATGATAACGCCTAGAAATGCAACTATTCGTACCTGATAGTTGTCTGCGTTGCATACACATAAAATTGAAGGCGCTCTGGTTTTCTCAACCCTCAAGCCAACGCCTCGATGCGACTATACTTGTGTTCCATGTTGTCATTGCCTGTGTTAAGGATGGATATTATTGAGGACGTTCGACTCTCCTATTCTCTCAGCAATGCTCTTAATGCACTGTCACAACATCGTAGAAAATACTGTCAAAATGCCCTTCATTACGTTTTTTCATTTGATCTGTACAATTTCAATTGAAACAGGAATTTTTAGATATAATGTCTACTACTTTCTTCTTTTTTTTTGAGAGAGGAGGTTTAAAGTTACCCCACGTGCGCCTCATAAGAGATGAAAGGAGGGGAGGGGTATAATTTGAAAAAAATGCACTACAAATATGCGCATGTTTACGATCGAATTCATAGGTTTGAAATATAACCCAACCGTTAAAAGCGAAAAATTCCTGCGTTTACATTTTAAAGCGGGACACAAACGAAATTGTGCTTCAATGAAATGCTTACGAGAATTCCCAAAATTTGGGGTCAGTCTTCTTCAATGTATTATGTTCTAAGGAATACTCATTTCCTCGGAGATCAGCCAGCCAAACATCGTATCCAGCATCATACAACTTGTATCCTGCAAAAATATCAAACTGATTGACTGTTTGGGATAGGAAATAGGCTTCATCGCCATAACATAATGACATTTTTGCATTTGCAGCCAGTTTAAGTGTATTCATTGATGAAAATTCTTAGCCCCGCGCAATGGGCCTGTTGCATGCAAGAGATACAGCCGTGCGAATAGACTTTTCAGAGGTTAAATGACACGAAAATTACGATGGTCACATTAAAAAAGTCTAAAATACACTCCTTACTGCGCATTTTGCGTTGTGAGGAACGCGCTTTTTCAAATTTCCCGCGCCTGAGGGCAGTTTTCTAACGGAAACAATTAACGGCAACTCGCGGCTATTTCCGGTCAACTAAAACTGACAACATAACCTAAAAATCGGAGCTCGTGATATCGTGAAATGAAATGTAGAAGGATTGCGTTGGATATTTAAAAGTTGATCGATTTGGTTACCGCATAAAGCGTATATGGACCACTATAAGAGATCACGTTGGGTTTTTAAACAAACTGAAGGAAAAAATAACAACAACAACAACGACTCGGCATCTTCCGGAAATCACCGAGCTCGCCGTTTGCTCGTTTCCGGTGATTAGAAAACTGCCCCCAGACGCGGGAAATTTGAAAAAGCGCGTTCCTGACAACGCAAATTGCGCAGTGAGGAGTGTATTTCAGACTTTTTTAATGTGACCATCGTAATTTTCGTGTCATTTAACCTCTAAAAAGTCTATTCGCGCGGCTGTATCTCTTGCATGCAACAGGCCCATTTCGTTATTAAAAATTATATTCGCAACTGTCTTTTTATTTCCTAAAAGTTTTATAATGTCTACAGCTAAAGTTGACAAAATGCAGGTCTCATTAGGACGGCACAATTTTTTTTGTGCTCTTCTACTGCTCACTGTGGAGCTACGTCCATGCTTCCAGACCCCGCCTACTATTTTAGTCGCAGTAAACGATGTTACGTCTGTTATGACAAATATTTTGGTTTCGAAAAAAATGCTTCATCGTCACCATTGTAACTAAGACTTGAAAATGTACTGTAGCAGAGACGTACTCTACCTTGAGAGTACGCCTCTGTTAGGAGCACCTCGGACATACGTGAGAGATCACGTATTTCCGAGGTGATCGCAGATAGGTGCTTCGGTTGGCGCGTGCCGCGCCAGGGTTACATCTTTTGGGCATTACTATATAGCGGCGGCCAAGCGGCCAGCGAGGGGTCAGTGTTGCATACATGCGTACTTGCCGGTGATCGCCACCTTAGTGCTTTCCAGTCTCATTGCGAGTTAGGCTATTTCCCCATCCTCTACGCCCTTACAGTACGTGGAAGCTGCGATCGACTATGGGAATAGTAAGAACGACGATTCTTTTCCCACATAATTGCAAGCCTTCATATATTCGTATCTTTCCTCTGTCCAAGAGAATATGACGCTACTTTTCCCGTTCGAAAACATGTCAATCGATGAGAGCGACAGAAAGGAACCTGCTTCACCGTTGTGAGAGCATCGCATCTCCTTGTTTCTTTTGGGGTTCAACAAACTCCTGAAATATTCTCAAAAATTTACATACTGGTACTCAAGACTACTACATGATTTTCGCTGACTCTCGTAATGATCGTGCTGATAGTTCTTACTGAGCGATGATTGTTGATAAATTGCCCCAAATACGAAATCTAAAATACGAATTCTGGAAAAATTTGACGGCCTGCATCAGAGGCCTTTTTACGGTAGACAATTAAAGAGGTTGTTCCAAAAACGCCGATTTTGGCCCCCCCCTGGATTCGGCCCAAACTTTGCTCAGATGTTGTACTAAGTGTCCCCGGTGCTTGGGCAAAATTTCAGCCCCCTCGGATAATTAGGGGGGAGGGGGCAGGGGGGCAAAGTTGCAATTTTTTTAAAACTTTAAAAATCGATATCTCGCGAACGGTTTGAGTGTAAGTGTTGCGGTTTGCGCTAAAAAACGTCAAAAAATATTCTCTACAAGAATATTAATGCTGTTTGCAAGGTCGCGTAATTTATTGCGGTCATAAATCGATTTTTTCGATTTTGAAGGTTCGACTTTTTTTCGTTTTTCGTCTCTCCTCTCTTTGGAATCGTTGCTACGTGAATAAAAACCGGTTGAGGTGATTCTCCATAAAATTCTGCATCTACCACACTTTGTTTGATCTTGGGGAAACGATTCGTTCGTGAGTTATAGCGATTTTTCTGCGCGTTATCGGTTACGCGCGGGCGGCTTATCGGCGGCGCTCCATCCCGCGCGGGCAAGGCAGAGGTTGTTTCACCCCTAGGGCCTTATATTCATGCTGTAGGCTGTAATTATCGATATTTTCTCCTCCCCCCATCCTTCCCCTGCAATAAATATTTGTTTAATACTTCGTTATACAGGGTACCCCAGACCACCCGTAACAATTCTTTTTCTCGGTTGGTTTAGGTAGTATGAAGTGGGGGGCCGCGGGATTGAATAGGGAATTGACCCCAAGGAATCCGAATTTCACGGTCCCGAAACCCCCCATGCCCCCCTTGTGAGGTAAAGAGGGGGTCACGATCCCCAAAGTCGGGAGACATTGTGCCTCCCCCTTTTACCCCCCGAGGATGGCTAGGGGGGCATCGGGACCGTGAAATTCGGATTCCTTGGGGTCAATTCCCTATTCAATCCCGCGGCCCCCCACTTCGTACTACCTAAACCAACCGAGAAAAAGAATTGTTACGGGTGGTCTGGGATACCCTGTATAACGAAGTATTAAACAAATATTTATTGCAGGGGAAGGATGGGGGGAGGAGAAAATATCGATAATTACAGCCTACAGCATGAATATAAGGCCCTAGGGGTGAAACAACCTCTGCCTTGCCCGCGCGGGATGGAGCGCCGCCGATAAGCCGCCCGCGCGTAACCGATAACGCGCAGAAAAATCGCTATAACTCACGAACGAATCGTTTCCCCAAGATCAAACAAAGTGTGGTAGATGCAGAATTTTATGGAGAATCACCTCAACAGGTTTTTATTCACGTAGCAACGATTCCAAAGAGAGGAGAGACGAAAAACGAAAAAAAGTCGAACCTTCAAAATCGAAAAAATCGATTTATGACCGCAATAAATTACGCGACCTTGCAAACAGCATTAATATTCTTGTAGAGAATATTTTTTGACGTTTTTTAGCGCAAACCGCAACACTTACACTCAAACCGTTCGCGAGATATCGATTTTTAAAGTTTTAAAAAAATTGCAACTTTGCCCCCCTGCCCCCTCCCCCCTAATTATCCGAGGGGGCTGAAATTTTGCCCAAGCACCGGGGACACTTAGTACAACATCTGAGCAAAGTTTGGGCCGAATCCAGGGGGGGGCCAAAATCGGCGTTTTTGGAACAACCTCTTTGAGTGTATGCAAGGGTAGAATTTTCTCACCAAGACTAGCGTTGGGGCCCATAGCCACCCATGCCCTCGAACTTGACATGAACCCATGGACTATGAGTACCGGCAGTCTGTCCGAGTCATTGCGAGGTAGTCTAATTAAGTTCAGGTAAAAACCGTCCTCTGTCAGTACTTTGTGTTTTTCATGCGGATACCGATGGAACTGGATGTTTTCTTCCTGAAAACATTACATTAAATTACTTTATTTCTCTGAATGAAATTTGAGTGACGTTATCGGGGTTCAACACTCTTACCTGGTGCAAAATCAAGGGTGAAAGATTGCTCGAAATAAATTCAATTGGAAGTTTGGAATAAATGGACTGCATTTTGCAATTAGGAACTGCAATTTCTGGCTCATTCATAAAAACACAAGCGTCTCGAGGAAAACTAATGATACATACGTTGTATTTAAACTAGGAGAAAGTGTAGTTCCTTATTGCAAAATGCAGTGGCAGTCTAAATAGTTCTCTATTTATTTGAGAAAAAGAAAAGAAATTCAAGAGTGAGATTTAAAGTGAACAAAGGACTTTTTAAAAACGCCTAAAGCTCTGTAAAATCGAGATTTGAGCTTTGGACTGAGAAAAGTCTCAAGTACATATCTAAGAATAAACTGCAGACTGTTCGATTCATTTGCGTATTGACAGTCCTTTCTTTTTTTTACAGTAGCTCTCGATATCTTTGCAAAGTAGGCTATTAATCCAACAATGCCAGGTTCCAGACACGGTGGATAATAACATCTTCTTGAATGCTTGTCGAACTTCCAATCGCTGCAAGACTGAGTTACTTACGACAAACTACAACAACACTGAGAATGTTTCGAGAGCAATTTTCAAGAATATGGAGTACTCTGGGCACAAATTACCTTTTTACCGTAGACGCGGTTAAAATTAAACTTCAAATTTCAAAAATGAGGACTGAAAAATAGATAGTGTTCAAATGTTTCATCAAGTAAACCTTGAGATGAGTTTCACTTAAAATAATTGACTGTTTATTTTTCTGGAAAATTTTACTCAATTCCTTATCATTGTCTGTCTTTGCGATTTTGCACTTAATAAATAAGCTTTACATGTGCCAGCTTTATGCAAATTTTCGAATTATGACCCGGGTTCCCTACTTTTATGAATTGCCACGCCCTTTTGAGGGCGCAGCGAACCCAGGCCGCTGGACCATTCTGCGGCCAGAAAGGGACCTCTTGGTATACTTTGCATATTGATATACTTACTATAGTCATGTCTAAAGTGTGATCCATGACACATTCGGGTTCCCTCCGTGACGGCATCGAGACGTATACCACTGCCGCCGCAGCTATCAAGATAGATATGGTCGCGCCTGATTTCATTATCGGTTCCAGATTATGAACGACAAAATGAAAATCTGATCGGTTATAAAACACAAGTTGCCGTCAATCTTGGTCTTGGTGCTTTTGCAAAGGGGGAAATAGGCAGTGGGGCAACAGGAACGGGGACGAGTTGCAACACTAACACAACCGCAGCTGAAGCAACCAATAGCTTGCTTAAGCCCAAAATGTAAACAAAGCGATTTGCAGGTGTAATATTTTTTAAAAGGTTGACAGAACTGGGATATTATCACGAATGAAACACTTTTCCGGAGTATGTGTGCTTATGATTTCTCAATATTTTAAGAAGGAGACGGGATTGAAAATTATCACAACCGCAGCTAAAAACTAAGAAACTACAAATTTACACTTTAATTTTAAATAAATTAATCTTCGGGAGGGGATATCACATACATTTATGGCGAAATAATTATGATAGTTGAAAACCGCACGTATAACTCGCTACAATTTTAAATAGGTACCAAGATGAAACACGATCGCAATCAAAGCTGTTAACAACCACCAATTCAATCTCGAATTTCAAAAATAGTAAAATTTAAATGGAAAACTTCACTGTAAAGTTGACATTACATCCGAAAGATGGATATCACGATATTCCCCCACCAAGTTTACGTATCATTCTCTACAATTTTAAGAACGTTCAGAAAACTCAGAGACCCGTTCGTCCGTATTACCATGATACAGTGAGCTATTTAAAGAGTCTTTCAGCGATTTTAGGTGGTCTCATACACACGCGAAACGGCACGCCGGGCGGAAGATCGGCGGACGGTGAAAAAATTGAAGGCGTTCATCGGGATGGCCGCACGCGACTGATGCGCGGCAAGGGCAAGGTTAGCGAGAAGGAGGTGGCAGGAGCCCCGATCCGAGCGATGGCAAAGTGGAAAAGGCGCAGCCAACTGCTGAGACTGCTACAACCAAGGTCGCTCCTCCTTGAATTTGCTGGGTTCTAGATTCGCGCCGCTAGCCCATCTTCACCATGCTTGATTCCTCGGCTTCGCCCCCGTTTTTATGATGGAAAAAGGGGAAAATTTATTTTCCTTGCGACATTTTCTTAGAATGAAAATGAGAATTGGACTGAGTTAAGCAGAAAGGAACCAACCCACATTTTGGAAAAAATTGAGTTATGAGTGGTTTTGAACTCAACCATTGCTCTACTATCTATCGCCAAAAATTCAAAGTTTTTGTTGGAGCAAATTTTGCAGAAATTGAACTTGAAGTTTATCTTTTACATTGAGTCTTAAACTTTAAACCTCTTTTTCTCGGTTCGATCCCGATGTGGCTTGGTTCCTTTCTGTTTAACTCCGTCCAGTTGTACCTTGTGGAGGAAGGACTAAACAATCTTGGTCATTGCGCCGGAAGGATTTGCACTGAAAAAAAACTCCTGCCATGGAAGCCGTACTGCTACACGGAAAAAAAAAACTCGTGCGTGGGACCCGAAGTTTAGGTCGTATGGATCTCTGAAGTTTTCAGATTGAGCGTCTGAACACTTAAGTTCTAGCTGTCGAGGTTCGGATCACACATTTGAAACTTCTGTTCTTACATTTGAAGTACTTCAGTTGTGAGTTGCAAGTTTTTCGGATGTGAAAACCGGAGTACTTCAGATGTAAGAACTAGCTATCAAGCTATCAATCTAGCTGTCAAGGTTCGGATCACACATCTGAAACTTCAGTTCTTACATCTGAAGTACTCCGGTTTTCACATCCGAAAAACTTGCAACTCACAACTGAAGTACTTCAAATGTAAGAACAGAAGTTTCAGATGTGTGATCCGAACCTTGACAGCTAGACCTTAAGTGTTCAGACGCTCAATCTGAAAACTTCAGCGATCCATACAACTTAAACATCGGGTCCCACGCACGAGATTTTTATCTCCGTGTACGGGCTATACAGACTTACCGTCCGCCTCCGGGCTCAGAGGCCGAAAGTTCCGGGCGTAGAATCCGGAGCAACTGAAGCTACGGTTCCAGCAGCCGAAACTTCTGGCCTCTGAGCCTGGGACGGACGGTATGTATGTATAGCCCGTAACTATTTTTTCAGTGAGGGAATTATTCACCCATAACTTCACAATTTGAAACAGCAAGCAGGCAAATAAATAAAGTCTTACCGAGTAATGCAGTTGCTTGAGATAACTTTTTTGTGAGGAGTGTCAACGCCAAAATAGCGCCTTCTATGTGAAAAGATACTTTTCAACGTGGCCTCAAAGGCCGAATAATTTTTTCAACGTGGCCTCAAAGGCCGAATAAATTGCATAATTTCAAAACCCAGTAAACACTGTAACAGCGTAGATTAGATAGTCCAGTCAATCTGGCCCAAAAAAGGAGTCTACTTTGCGAAAATCTGAGGAGAAAAAAGTAAGACGGATTCCTATGTAATTTGGGTCGCTGAATCCGAATCTGATGTTTGCCAACAAAAATTTTGACCGGAAATGGCCGCCATCTTGAAAAAATGGCGGAAAATCACGTTTTTTCCCCAAAATCCCCCAAAATCTCACTTATTTTGGGGTTTTCGACAATATAAGTTATCTTCACTTTAAAAGTACGTAAAATTTCCTATCAAACGGCTTTTAGATTTTTGAAATCGGACAATTAGGGTAAAAGTTATGGACGATCGCGTTAGGGGTGGTTTTAGGGGTTGATGAATTTTTCACCAAAATTGCTGCGTAAAAACGCTGTAATGTCGTTGGAAGTGAAACAAAAATTCCGAAAATGGTTTGCATATGTCCCCCTGGGTACCAGTGACTCTCCGCCATGAAAAAATCCCCCACCCCCGCGCCCCTCATTCAATGTGCACTTTTTTCAATTAAATCACACTAATTACAGATGCCGAAAATGTATGCAAAACCCTCATGGATCACTTGGTTTTCCAACTCCCATCACCCCCCTTAATCCCGTTATGACCCCCCTCACCTACCCCTCCCCCCTCAACCCCCTCCCCGCCCCTCCATCCCTCCACCCCAAACCCTTATTAGCCATATAAGAGCCACCGAACCGATTCTGAAAGCAAGATTTTTTTTTTTTATTTTTTTTTACAGGCGGCGAAAATATTTTAAAGACTTCATCGTAGGCAGCTAGGAACTCAAGATGGATGTGTGGGATTTCCACCCACTAAAAACCCCTCCGCTTTGGGTGAACGAAATGAAAAAAAAGCACTGAATGAATGTTGTCTTGAATAGCTGTTTCTCTGTAACATTTTCCATACATCCGCTCCAACCCGGTAAATTCGGTATTATACTGACTGCTGAAATTACAGAGTGAGAAATCGCGTTGCCTTTTTTTTGGAACTTCGGTTTGCTCTTAACTTTTTTGTTATTTAGAATGATAGTATGAAGTAGGAGCTTCAGAGAATCTGGAATGTCTGATTCTGCGTTCTTAAAAAAATCATGAAATGCAGGATAGTTGTCTGTGTCGTAACCCTTCGTTCTGATATCCTCGAGAATCATTTTTGCAGCAGTTTCCACGATACGTAGCCTTTCAGCGTTTTTATTGCTTAAAACCTGATTTTACCAAGCTTTGTTGAGAATCTTATCACCAAAAACGGGAAAAGATATCTCTCATTGGTTTGATTTGGTTATTTTTTTAAGAACGGAGAATCAGACATTCCTGAGTCTCTGAAGCTCCTACTTGATACTATTATTCTAAATAACAAAAAAGTTAAGAGTAAACCGAAGTTCCAAAAAAAAGTCAACGCGATTTCTCACTCTGCAATTTCAGCAGTCAGACCTCGGTCATATAATTCGCCCATCCAAATCGGAGTTTCATTGTATGTGTGCTAAAAATTCAGATCGAAAAAATTGATTGGTGTATTGAATCTCTCGCCTACGTTGCACCGTACCATGAAATTTTGAAATTTGAAACCGCTGCTATTCTGCATGGACCTGTAAAAATCAATTTCGACGCTTTCTTTCAGTTCATATTCGATAATGTGGATTTGAATTGTCAAGACGCTTGATGGAATGAACGCCTTCCATGCTATGGGCGGAGTAATGTGTATCACACCACAATCATCAGTTTACCCTGATTAAGTAATACCTCGTAATTTATCTCAAAATCCGCCGGTAAAATAGCTCGGGCCTTTGCAGTAACACCCGTTGAAATTTTTGAAAAGAAACGCCACGATGGAATGAAAGACATCAAAATTCTTGATTTGCAGACTGTTAATAAATTGCCTGATCGTTATGAGATCTTAACGCTGGATTTTTTGTGGATTTATGGACACTTGATTAAAATACCGAATTTACCGAGTCGGAGCGGATTTATGGAAAATGTCATAGAGAAAAAGCTATCCCTGGTAAAAATTACCAATAGGAGCTGCGTTATTCAAAATACCTTAGGAAATCTTATAGCTGGATATAGAAGACGATAGAAAATTATTTAACTGGCTGTAGAGAGCGAAGAATTTCACACAGCCGGGCTACACGAAGCGATAAAAAAATATAAAGCCGGGCTATGGTTCCCATCGCCAGGCTATACAGTATATAGCCTTGCTGTAGCTTTTTTGCCACGGTCTATAAAAGGCTATAAGAAATTGCATAGTCAGCTACAGAAGCTATAGGAAAACCGACAGCCGTCTGTAGGTCTATAGTATTTTGGAACACAGATCCTACTGCCAATTTTTACCAGGGATTCAAGACAACATTCATTCAGTGCTCTTTTTTTTCAATTCGTTCACCCAAAGCGGAGGGGTTTTTAGTGGGTGGAAATCCCACACATCCATCTTGAGTTCCTAGCTGCCTACGATGAAGTCTTTAAAATATTTTCGCCGCCTGTAAAAAAAAAATAAAAAAAAAAAATCTTGCTTTCAGAATCGGTTCGGTGGCTCTTATATGGCTAATAAGGGTTTGGGGTGGAGGGATGGAGGGGCGGGGAGGGGGTTGAGGGGGGAGGGGTAGGTGAGGGGGGTCATAACGGGATTAAGGGGGGTGATAGGAGTTGGAAAACCAAGTGATCCATGAGGGTTTTGTATACATTTTCGGCATCTGTAATTAGTGTGATTTAATTGAAAAAAGTGCACATTGAATGAGGGGCGCGGGGGGAGGGGCGGGGGTGGGGGATTTTTTCATGGCGGAGAGTCACTGGTACCCAGGGGGACATATGCAAACCATTTTCGGAATTTTTGTTTCACTTCCAACGGCGTTACAGCGTTTTTACGCAGCAATTTTGGCGAAAAATTCATCAACCCCTAAAACCACCCCTAACGCGATCGCCCATAACTTTTACCGTAATTGTCCGATTTCAAAAATCTAAAAGCCGTTTGATAGGAAATTTTACGTACTTTTAAAGTGAAGATAACTCATTTTGTCGAAAACCCCAAAATAAGTGAGATTTTGGGGGATTTTGGGGAAAAAACGTGATTTTCCGCCATTTTTTCAAGATGGCGGCCATTTCCGGTCAAAATTTTTGTTGGCAAATACCAGATTCGGATTCAGCGACCCAAATTACATAGGAATCCGTCTTACTTTTTTCTCCTCAGATTTTCGCAAAATAAAATGCCAGATTGACTGGACTAAGAGAGTAGTGCGGCTGCTTCAAATAATAGAGTTCTTGCGTACTTTTTCTCGCGAAAAACACGATGGTGTCTCTGGTTCTCTGAGACCAACTCCAGAGTTCAAAAAAAACTCTCAAAGTTGAGGCCATACTGCGGAGAGAATAACCAACGCTACCTTGAGAGTTCACCTCTATATCGAGTCAAACTCTCCACGCAAAGATGGGGAGCATGGGAGCAAATACCTTAGCAGGATTGCCATGTTTTTAGTTTTGGTGCCCCCAAAAAAGTGGCAACCCTGTCAATGTATTTGCTCTCTACTTTTGCATGGAGCGAAGCGAGATGGAGCAGCTAGTTTTTCCCAAATCCGGTGGGTAGCCCAGTT